ATGGGTGAATTACTGATTTACAAAGTAATAAGTCCCTTCAAGACATTTTTGAAGAGTTTCAAAGGAAAGAATTGGAAAATTTACTACTTTAAAATTGAATGTAAACAATCCGCCGTAGTGTCGCAGCTGACTTGGCTCTGCACTCAGAAGCTCCAAAAATGCGAACTGCGCGCACACCAGAGCCTCGCTTTTGGTCGCCTCATGTCTCCCGTGTGTGGCACCCCCCTAAAACCTAACCTAACCGCTAAGTCAGTACAAGTCGCTGATTTAGCTGACTATTTTCAATATTCAACATTAAATTAATTGTTTGAAAAATGAGTTTTGTGACTTATTTGGACGAAGAAATCGGGAATTTTACAAATAAAAAAAAAAAAAAAAAAATTCCGTGGCGAGACTTGAACTCGGTACCACCCTGTCAGCAGGTGAATACACTATCAGTTGAGCCACTGAAACACGTGGATCAATGACGGAAATAAGTAGTATATCAGTTTAGCGTTATTGTTGTTGAAAAGAAGATGCATCGTAGATCGGTGACCGACAAGGATGGTTGCTGGGGATTCCGCAACTTTTCATGCCTCTTTCCTTCTCAAGAGTAAATATCTGTTCGATTTGTTCTCCCCGGCCGGCGCGGCAGGACACCGCGGAGATTCTAATGCACTTGTGATAACTGCCCGCGCACCGGCCACGGGCTGCAGCTGACACTTAAATGATACGTATCGAGACCGTTTCGCCAAAATTGATGAGTTTTTAACTGATTTTATAATTTAATCCGTATTTTGTTACAGACGGTTTAATATTTTGTTCAATTCGATTAAATGACTCAGCATTGACATACTTTTGGTTCATTTCAGTCGTTTCACCAGCCTTGCCCATACTGAAGACATTTTTTCACGCATAAAAAAGTGTTTTCAGTATGTGTAGCTGATGTCACATTTTTTTCAAATTGCTGTTACTCCTTTAATTTTTCACTTACATCGTAAAATGTGTATTTTTTACAGGTAGAGTTGCTCTTCATAAAAATCTTCATAAGAATCCTCTCGTTTCTACGGGCGACAAAGTGCAAAGCTTTGAAAACTTCAAACGCGATTTTCTCAGAATGTGAAAACTCAACCTCCGCTATTGTTACGTATAAGTCCTCATACGTTCATATTCAATCACAAATACTTTCATTGGTGATGACACACAGCATTGCCGAGCCTTCAACTTTGACTAATGCGTTGAGCATAGTGAATTCTCTTTGATTAGTTTTTAAAAGCAAATAATTAATGTTAGAAGTATTCTTTTTTTTAAAGAAAGAAAAAAAAAAAAAAAAAAAAAAAAATGGATGTTACAAGAAAAAAAAAATAAAATTCACAATAGTGATAAAACCCTTTGTAGTCACAATTAATTGTCCATAGCAACAATATATAGCAATATATAACAGTATATAGCGAGGCCGCCTCCTTGGATTTTGAAATGTTGAAAATCTAACCAAAAATTGACCCGTTTACAAATACCCCCTAATACCGAATTTCACGAAAATCGATCGAAGTGAAGCCAAAACATCATATCAGGCCACGGCTGTCATCGTGGATTTTAAAATTTTCGAAATCGGACCAACAGTTCGAGTTTCCCGTCGGAAAAAAACCGGTTCATGCCGAGTTTCACGAAAATCGATTAAAGAGCAGCCGAGATAGCATTTCAGACCAGGGCCGCCATCTTTGATTTTTGAATTTTGAAAATCTGACCAAAAATTTGAGTTACCCGTCGAAAAGTACCTCCGAATATCGAGTTTTACGAAAATCTATCGAACGGGAGTCGCCTTAGCATTTTGCTCGTCGAGTTTCTCGTCGAAAAGTACCGCTTAAACCCGAGTTTCTCAAAAATCCGTCGAAAAATACCCCCTATAACCTGAAATTTCGTCTAAAATGCTGTGACGTCACGCGACAGGATTGAACCTGTTCGGCACGGTGCGCGTGAACAACCTCGTTTGCTATTCCGCAATGCATTACTACATGAAGAAGCAACTTTTTGCTCTTGCGGACGTCCTAAGCCACATTTTCTTTCGAGGTACTTTTCGACGGGTAACTCAAATTTTTGGTCAGATTTTCAAAATTCAAAAATCAAAGATGGCGGCCCTGGTCTGAAATGCTATCTCGGCTGCTCTTTAATCGATTTTCGTGAAACTCGGCATGAACCGGTTTTTTTCCGACGGGAAACTCGAACTGTTGGTCCGATTTCGAAAATTTTAAAATCCACGATGACAGCCGTGGCCTGATATGATGTTTTGGCTTCACTTCGATCGATTTTCGTGAAATTCGGTATGAGGGGGTATTTGTAAACGGGTCAATTTTTGGTCAGATTTTCAACATTTCAAAATCCAAGGAGGCGGCCTCGCTATACAGGGTGATCCAAAAGTCCCTTCCACCCCCTCTAACTTTTTACCTAATTGAGGTAAAGATTTGAAACTTGGGGGATATTCCTAGGTCAAAGGGAGCTACTTTTTGGCCCCCCTAAAATTTTCAGGGGGGCCCCCCTTGGGGAGGCAACGGCCCCCAACTTTTAATTTTCAAATGGGAAGACCCCTTTGGTGATAGCTCGTTCAAAAGAGCATAAAAAAAGAAAACTTTTCGCGCAAACCCGAAGTCAATATCTCAAACTGTTTCAAAATGGCGGCCGGTTAAAGTTCAAAATGGCCGAAAATTCACACCGGTTATTTGTCGATGGATTTGCGCGAAAATCGGTATGTTGGGGTATTTTGACACGAGAAAACCGAGTTTGACGTTAGATTTTTAAAAAAACCGAAATTTCCAAAATGGCCGCCGGTTAAAGTTCAAAATGACCAAAAATTGATTTTTTTAGAAATCTAAGTTCTTTATTTGTCTTATGGCATAATACTCTCAAATTCCAAGTTTTAGGCAAATCCATCAGCAAAAAACCGAGGTGACAATTTTCGGCCATTTTAAACTTTAACCGGCGGCCATTTTGGAATTTTCGGTTTTTTGAAAATCTAACGTCAAATTCGTTTTTCTCGTGTCAAAATACCCCAATATACCGATTTTCGCGCAAATCCATCGACAAATAACCGGTGTGAATTTTCGGCCATTTTGAACTTTAACCGGCCGCCATTTTGAAACGGTTTGAGATATTGACTTCGGATTTGCGCAAAAAGTTTTTTTTTTTATGCTCTTTCGAACGAGCTATCACAAAGGGGGTCTTCCCGTTCGAAAATTAAAAGTTGGGGGCCGTTGCCCCCCAAGGGGGGCCAAAAAGTAGCTCCCGTTTGACCTAGGAATATCCCTCAAGTTTCAAATCTTTACCTCAATTAGGTAAAAAGTTAGAGGGGGTGGAAGGGACTTTTGGATCACCCTGTATAATGCGGTCCCGGCTCCTGGAACATCAAATTTTGTAAATCTTTGTGAAAAAGAAGATGCAGACGAAGATGTTGTCTTCTCATCAATGTTAGAAAGTAAGTGGGGCGGTGGTGGCTCGCGGAGCGAGTCGCAAGTTCATCGCGAAGCGAAGGCACTCCCCGGCTAGGCGTGTCAGCTCGCAGAGCGAGCTAATCACGGCTAGTTACTCTATATAAGACTGCCATACCGGCTCACTCTACCCCCCTAAAGAAAAATTGGCCGAAGCGATTTCCTTTTAACTTGGTACACGCTTAGCAACTGTCGTGATGAGTAGATCAAAACTATTCAGATCAGAAAACGTTGCCCAGGACGCCCACAAGGGCGAAAAGTTGTTTCCCCCTATATTAATGCATTGGGGACACGAGGTTGTTTACGAGCACAGCGCGGAACAGGTTCAATTGTGTCGTGAGACGTCACAGCAGGGCCACCGTATGCCTCGATCGCGTTCGATCTTCCAGCTGTGTGCCTCCCTAACGAATTTTTCCATCCCTTTACTCCTCTCACGTACATAGCGTCAGCCTGCCTGCACCTAAGTATCTCCTTACACCTGTCTTCCTTCTTATAAGTCATTTGCCTCACTGGTCGTATATTTTTTTAACTTCCTCTCTTTAGTCTTACTCCTTTATTTTTGATCGATTTTCGTGAAACTCGGAACCGGGAGGTATTTATCGACGGGAAACTCGAACTTTCGGTGAGATTTTCAAAATTAGAAAATCCAAGATAGCGGCCGTGACCTAAAATGCTATCTCTGCTCCTGTTCCATCGATTTTTGTAAAACTCGGTATCAGAACGTATTTTTCGATGGGAAACTCGAATTTTCGATGAGATTTTGAAAAATCAAAAATCCATGATGGCGGCCGTGACCTAAAATGCTATCGCGGCTCCTGGACCATCGATTGCTGTTGAACTTGGTGAAAAATAAGATGAAGACAAAGATCTTTTCTTCTCGTTATTGTTAAAACCTATGTGGGGCGGGGGCGGCTTGTGGAGTGAGTCGCAAGTTCATCGCGGAGCTAAGAGCCGGGGGTCCAGGGGCTCTCCCCGGCTAGGCCTGTCAGCTCGCTAAGCGAGATAATCACGGCTAGTTCCTCTTATATAATTTGACTGTACATCCTTGAGTACTACTACTGGTTGATTTTGTGCCTTAAAAAAGTTAAATATTTACTTAAATTGGTTTCTAAATAAGAACCTTAAAAATATGAGTATTCTTAAGCTCAAGCAGGTAAACTTTGCAATGTTATACTGTCAAAACAAGGCTAATGCATAGTTTGAAACTTTTACTGGTGACTTGCTTTGTCATAACGTTTCAATTAAGCTTAGAGTAAATACTCTAAAGTCTACTTTGAGGTTGATTTTTGAAAGAAAAAATTTAAAAAAATGAAGATTTTTTAAAACTCAGATACCAATGAGAACTTTGCAACGCTGTGACTCTGAAACTAAAAAACTCGAGCTAAAATTTGCTTGTCTCATCATGAGGTTTCATTTAGGCCACATATGAATGAAATTTTTGAGTTCCAGGAAAGAGGTCATTTGGCAGGCTCTTCCACTCGAAAGTGTCAGACTAACTTCCTGGACAATCCAGAGGAAGGAATATTGATCCACACCTACCTTGAGGAAACAGTTTGGCAATAGGAACGGATGGAGGGCTGGTTTGCTTTCCATCTCCTTTGTCTTCTTTAGATTTCTTCTCGCTTTTCTTTTTAGGCACTCCTTTCAATGCCTCAGACTTTTTGTCAGTTCCATTAATTTTACACTCTGAGAGCTTTTCTCTTGCTTTTTGTTCGTCAATAGGCTCTTGAGAGATTTTGTTCAGCTCTCCAGTGCCTGAAAAAGAAACATTGGTATTAGATGACAAATGACGATACGTCAGGAGTGCACAATATACTAGATCACGCGATAAATTATCGCGTGGAATTGTGGAAGGCCTTCCCGATTTTCGGAAGCGCGATCACGCGATAAAGTATCGCGTTAAAATGTGGAAGCGTCCCAAATTTTGTGGAAATTTTTTTTCTTTCTTTCTTTCTCTCGTTTCTTTTCTCGCTCTTCACTTTGAATCTCAGATTTTTCACCGAAACAAAAAAAAGGTCATCACTTTTTGTAGAAGAAGTCACGAAATTGTGGAAATTTTTTGAAAATTTTTTGTGGAAGAGGAAAAACTTATCGCGCGAAATTGTGGAAGCACAGTGAAATGTGCACCCCTGCGATACGTGTTATGAGTTGGATAAAACAAGCATGGGATTGGAGTAATGAAGGATCACAATCTATGTTCAGAAAGATAGGTGTGATAAAGGAAGGCATCATAACCAGGAGTAAGGCGGCCCCATAAGGGTTCGGCTTATTTTTGAAAGTCCGACACTCGATTAGGTCCGCCCGTCAATCGATGACCTCTTCCTCACAAACAACTTTAAACTTGATCCGAAGATTGTGCGATGATTTTAACCCGATGCTCAATTGTTCAAGCCTATCAGAGTTAGCGCATGAGCGTCGACTTTAGGTTCTAATCCAGGCAATTGGGAGTAAGATAGGGGCTCTTGGGGAAAATATCCCGAAAAATTTTTGTTGAGTGATACCTACCCATATAATTTGGACACTGAATCGAAGTTTTATATTTGTGTAAAGATATTTCCACCACTAAAGCTGCCATTTTGAAAAAATTACCCAAAAAAGGCCTGAAATTCCGTTTTTTGCAAATATCTCGGTTAATTTGAAATTTTCTACAAAACCAGTTGTTCGAGAATTGAAGTAAATTGAATTTTGAAGAGAGAATTTTTCAATAAAAATGTTTTGTACACAAATTTTTTTATAAGACTGAAATTAAATCTGCTACAGCACGCTGAAAACACCATTGAAGTTCAAAATTCGCGTTCCTTGCGCTTTTTTCGCGAGTAACTTTTCTCAGAGCGACGCTATGGGAAAAGAGTTCATTTTTGAACGTATGCAACAGTAAAGTTACTGTCAGAAGGTACTTTTAATCATTTTGTTTAATTTTGAGCATCATCGAAGAGTTTTTGAAGTTGCAACAAGCACGCAAAAAGAGAGCCTTCAATTTTCAAAGAATCCTTTTTATGGTGGATGAAGAGTTCTAGGTTCCACTGTGCGTTCACTTTGAATGTTATCCATGACCCAGTATTCCCCGGTATAGGAAGTCGCTTGGAAGGGTCTCTAAGCATGAAAATGGTGATGGCTAGAATACACAAAATACTCTACCTCCTATTCATTTCCTTGCCCATACATTTTCATTAGTACCAAGTTTGAAATTTTGTCTATAGATGGCTGAAGGTTCCACATCTGGAATATAAGCTAATAAACCAGCAGAAGAAGAAGAAGAAGAGTTCTAAGTTAAATTTTGAAAATGCAGATCGTTAAGTTAAAGTCGTCAAAAATCGTATTTTCCTACATTGGCACAGGCTCCTTTGCAGGCACAAAAACATCATTTACAATAATTTTTATATTCTCCTTATCTGTACTCTAAAAAGAATCATCGAAAATTAAAGGCCCAACTTTTTTAAAACGTGCCCTGTCTTTCGAAAAAATAGAGAAAACTCGAAGATTTCTACCAAATTGAGCGATTCGGTCTACATATGATCTTACAATGGAGAAAAATCTTCTCACATCCTAAAAACTGGTATTTTGTTGTACTTAGTCGATTATAAAAATGATCCCTAAAACCCAGTAATTAATTTCATGTATGTAGGTACTAAGGTGCTTCGGAGAACTAGCTGCTTCAGCTCGCTACGCTCGCTTGCTCCGCTAGCCGGGGGCAAGCCCCCTGGACCCCCAGTCACTCGCTCCGCAAGGGACTGTTGGCTCGCTCCGCAAGTGACTGTTGGCTTGCTTCACGAGCCAAATTTTGCTACTACAAGTAATTAGAGGACTTCCTGGTGGCAAAATGATAAATTCAAAAACAAAGAATAAGAAACTAATAATGATAACCACCTCTAGCTACTTCTAGAAAAAGAAACATCCTTGAAAAATAAAAAACACTCCTGTGATAGAAAATCAAAACACTTTGTGAAAATTTAACGGTGCGAAAGGGTGAAGATTAATCACTGATTCTCTTGGAAGAATACATAAGCTGCTGTAAAAATGTTAATTATTAATAAAACCTGTGCTGCCGTAAAAAGGAAAATTATCTTCTGAAAAATACACATCAAAATTAAGTAATTTTCATGTTAAAAAAAACTAAAGACAAAATCAAGAAAGCAAAACTCAAGACGCACTAATAAGAAACCTGGACAAACCAAGAACCAACTGATCATGAGCAATGCGACGGAGGAAATGCGTAGCAGATGTTCCGAGTCAGACAGCATAAGGAAGGGAGGGATAGTGCCACAGGATCCATGCCAGAGTAGAAGTGTGACACGTGTTAACGGCAGGTAGGGATGGGTTTACATGGAGAGGGAAACAGAAAATCAGAGGGTGGGAGGTCCCCCAACCATATGACTCGTCCAGCTGCAAATATGCAAATATTTCACTATCAAATCGAGGGAAATTTTGCATTATCGGTCGCGCAAATCGAATAATCAAGGGATGCCTGCACATCTACAGCCTAAGAGCTTTCATTTAAAACAAATCCGAGGAAAATTGGTCCAGTAGTTTCCGAGATCGAATTAGGACAAACTGTCCAATGTGAGGGAGGACAAAAATAGCCTTGGGATATTAAATATATAGATTATTGTAGTGTTACGTCAACTTCAAGTGACGTGGTCAAACTGGCATGCAATTTATCACATTGATTAGATCCAAAATCTTGGCAGATTTTGAATTTTAAACAAAAAAAAGGACGATAGCCCCTGCGCATGAGCTTTAAGAATCATCCTAAACCCAAAAGTTGACAAATTCAGAGAAATGAAAGCAGAATAGTATTTGGAAAAAAACCTCTTATTCGATTCAGCTATCGATTTCTGTATCGAATGCTAGGCTTCTTTCCAAACACTATTCCTCTTTCATTACTCTGAATTTTGCTGATTTTTGGGTTTAAAGTGATTTTTTCAGCTCCTGCGCAGGGGCTACCGTACTATTCTTTGATAAAAATTCAAAATCTGATGAAATTTTTGACTAAATTAATGCGATATATTGCATGCCAATTCGACCACGTCACTTGAGCTTGACGGATCACCTTAATGCAACTAGGCCAGGACATGCTTAGCGCGATCCATGGGCGTAACGAACTCTAGTTGTTACAGATATTCACAGTGCAGGGAGAAGAAAGAGAAACTCATAGGGACTTTCAGTAACATACAGTGGAAATATGTGGTATCTACCTTTTTTCCTGTTCCGTTTCCTCCTTCTCTTTGTAGTAGCCTCTGAACATCCATCATCATTCACCTCTCCGTCTTTGTCATCAATGGTGTCTGCCTTCTGCTCGAGCTCGAAAACACCGCCGAGATCTGCGACTGCTGTAGCCATCCTACAGATTTAGAATTAAAGAAACGAACACATGAAAAAAAATTAACTAGAAGAGGAACTGGCACTGGCAATTTTCTACATAGAGAGCTTGAGTTATTACGAAGGGGTCCCTGTAAAGATGCTGTGCGCTATGACTGGTGGGTTGACACTCACTACTGGGCACTGGGCATTGGGCAGATGAGAAAATGTGAGGTTAAGACCAGGGACGAGTTCTATACTTTGGTTCTATAGGACGCCGTTCTGTTGTGAGCGGGTGATTGCAGCGCATTCTCGCGTAGGATCCTAGTCAACTCAGAGGATCCTCCCCCCGAACCTCGACTCATCCATCGCCCGCTCCAAAAGTGAGGTTAAGCCGGAGATTGAAAAATAACACATAAGGCGGCTGAATTCTTGAAAAATAAGTATATTTTTGGCGTTTTTCGACCCCTTTAGACATGAACGGACCCGCGGTATGAAGTAACACGGTGAAAAATTCGATTTTTTGCAGTTATACGCGATCCTACGGATTTTAATGAAGTCCAACAACTGATAACAGCAGTGAGTTGCGAGGATCCTACGCGAGATAGTAGCACTAGTACCTGCTCACGAATTTTTACATTGACTCTTACGGGAGTCCAGGGTCCTATAGAACTGGTCCCTGTTAAGACCTGACCAAGGAACACTAACACTCCACACCAAAGACATAAAGACTATAAAGACGGAGCGCTAAAAGCAGAGATGGAAAGTGAAATTTCACGTGAAATTTCATGAAATTTCACAAGGCCCGAATAAATTTCAAAAAAATTGAAATTTGTTGATTTTTCAAAGAAATATTGTTACTAAGCCTCGGAAACGGTTCAGATGATCCCAGAGATGGAAAGTGAAATTTCACAAGGCCCGAATAAATTTCAAAAAAATTGAAATTTGTTGATTTTTCAAAGAAATATTGTTACTAAGCCTCGGAAACGGTTCAGATGATCCTCCTGCTGATGCAGCAGAATATGGCCCACTAATGAGATGCTACACCCAAAGGAGGGGGCACAAGGGGGGTTTTAGAGAAAGTTAGCCCTAACCTAACCTCCAAACCAACTGTAAACAGACATGTACCCAGCAAATCGCGTGGCCGTGGACAAGATTATAAGAACATCACACCCTTTTAGAAACGTTTTACTTTAGTACTTTTATTATGTTTTCAGAGATGCACCAATCGCGCGAGATGTTGCAATCGCGCACTGCTGAGAATAATCTTTATAGTATAATTGTTAAATATGTAGGACATTAAGTTGGTTCAGAAATATACCACTAAAAGTGCCGTTTTTTAGCATTACAATTTTTAGCATCAATTTCTCCAACGTTTCTCAAATAAAAGTCCCCCCCCC